ATTCCGTAAAAACTCACAAATTCATAATTATAATACACGTCAAAGGGGTCTTATTCATCAGCCTTTTGCAAGAACAAATATCACTCTGACCTCTTTCCATATCTCTTGCATAAAAGAATGGAACAGTTTGCCTGATGATATAAAAAATAGTACAACTCTTTCTAGGTTTAGAAGGTTATCTAAAACGTACCTACTTGGAAGACTGTCATAATTCTAATTTGTATCTTAATAATTTCTCATTCTCAAATGCCTGTAGACCACTAAGGACTGTGTGTGTGTGTGTGTGTGTGTGTGTGTGTGTGTGTGTGTGCGTGTGTGCGTGCGCGCGCGTGTGTGTGTGAATATTTTTTTTGTGTTTTATATTCTGTAGCTAAGTTTGTTTCCATCCCTTGTATAAACATTACATTCTTTTTAGTCACCTTGCCAAATCGTTAATGTATGTATTTTGTTGACTATAGGGCCCCGCTCACAAGCTTAGCTTCTACAGGGGTCCTAAAACCATTCACTTAATGATGTAATCAAGTTATTGTATGTTAATTATTGTACTATTACCAGTCTCTTTTTCATGTAAAAGATTATATCATGTTTTTGTGTGGTTTTGAATAAACGAACTTGAACTTGAACTTGAATTATATGTCATTTAAACAGGATCTCAGTGTTCTCAGTGATCCGCGAGCCGTGTCGAACCCGCCTTTTTGGATCCTTTTTGAATGTTTTGAATCTTGAATTTTAAAACCATGGCCCAGTGACGCAACGATATAAGCGCGTTTGGTAACATTGGTGATGTGATAATAGATGGAGGAGGGTTGTATTTTCTTTAGTGGTCGTATATAGGGGGACTGGTTTTACTTGGTGGATTGAGGAACGGTGTAGGGAGGGATCTTATTATTCTCATTCTCAAATGCATTTCCATCTCTCCTTTTTCCTCTGATGGATGCAAGACTATGTTGGTGGTGATAAAGATGATACTCAATTCAATTCAATTTATTTTGCCAAGCAATACAAAACATACAGGGTAAAACAAAAGCAGTATACAAAGTTTCACACATTTACAATTACTAACAAAGATAAACACAGAAATACACAGAATCAATTTACAAACATGAATAATACAAAGGAAATTGCTAGTGCTAGTAGCAGCCAGAAAGGAGGTGGTCCTTGTATGCGGCTGACCAATTAATCAAATATAAAAAGTGAAACAAACAACAATTACATGTAAAATATAATGAATTTAACAACCGTTAAAATATGTAGCTAATATTAATATACGTCCATCCAGTATTTTTTATATTTGCGTTTGAAAGTGTTAACAAATTTCAATTCACGTATTTTACGAAGTATATTACTCCATAAGCAAGGTCCATTAAATATTACTGTACGTTTATATGAAGGTGTATGTACAAGTGACAAGTGAAAATTCTCAGCATTTCTAGCACTATAGTGGTGTATATTACAATTTAGTATAAACAAAATTGAAAGTGATTTAGGAAGGATTTGTAAATAGCACTGGAACATAAATATTGCACATTGATAATTATACATATCAGTAAAATTCAATATTTTCATTTCTTTAAAAAGTGGATGTGAATGGGCAAGATAAAACGTATGACAAATAGTACTGGTAGTAGTAGACCTATAGTACACCTAGTAGAATGGCTAAGTAATATAACTAGAAATATCGCAATCTGTATTGCCGCGCAATGCGAATGTATCCCCCGGCAGTGGCAGCGATTTTGGGTCATCCTTATGTGGAAGGAGGGACAAAGATTCCCTCTCCTCTTTGTGAAACAAAAGGATATAGAGCGCACACAAACAAAAATATGGCCTTGTACCCTATAGAAGGCGGAACACTGGGGGCAGCATCACCAAAAGTTATAGGTATGTAGATTATACCAGGATACACCTCCATACAAAATTTGAAAGAAATCCGTCAATAAATGTGGCAGTTAGAGCGCACACTAGAGTGCACACAAGACATCTATCAAAATATGACCTTTGACCCTATAAAAGACGGAACATTGGAGGCAGCATCACTAAAATCTATAGGCTTGTAGATTATACCAGGATACACCTCCATACAAAATTTGAAAGAAATCCATCAAGAAATGTGGCATTGAGAGCGCACACAAGAATATGACGCGGCGGCGGCGGACGCGGCGGCGGACGCGGCGGCGGCGGCGGCGTAACGCTGCTGAATCCAAAGTACCCCACCGGCATACTGCCGGGGGATACAATTAGTAGTAGTAGTAGTAGTAGTAGTAGTAGTAGTAGCAGTAGCAGTAGTAGTAGTAGTAGTAGTAGTAGTAGTAGTAGTGGTGGTGGTAGTAGTAGTAGTAGTAGTAGTAGTAGTAGTAGTAGTAGTAGCAGTAGTGGTAGTAGTAGTAGTAGTAGTAGTAGTAGTAGTAGCAGTAGTGGTAGTAGTAGTAGTAGTAGTAGTAGTAGTAGTAGCAGAGGTAGTAGTAGTAGTAGTAGTAGTACACTGTGAAAAGGTTGGGCAATATTTTCCCAACACTTTGCCCAACGTTGTGCCAATAGTCAACCCAACCATCTTTTGGGCAATATTTTGCCCAGTGGTATTGGTAAACGTAAGTACCCTACTTCACACGTGCATAATTGTTTCGTATTATGACCAAATTTTGTGCAAGCATATGACCCTTCAACTTCCCGACTACGGTAGCCCACTTGTTTGGAAAATCTTGACCAGCTGTTGGGCAAATTACGTCTCTAATGACCTAATTAAAAATGATGTTTATAGTTATGTATGGAAAGTAATAAGAATCTTACGCTTATAGATTGTCATTGGGGGAAAAAAAAATGTCTTACACTAACATTTGAAACCCATGCACCCCTTTCAAACTGGCCAGATTTTCATTGGTTTGATCAACAACAAAGAGGCGGCGTTCCGGGGGGGGGGCACAGTGTCCAAAACATTTTCGAGTATCCCAAAAGGTCCCCTTTTTACACGTTCCCCTTTCCTTTCTAAAAAATGACTCTCAATCCAGGGCTTGAGGGTACCAATCCGAGCCCCTGCATTGACGTCCTTTCAAACATTAGTAATCCACTTTATTTTGCCAGTCTCGATCCACCCAGTCCTAGGAGTACATAGCAGCACAATGCCATCATGAAGTACAGCATTGAAGCTGATGGCTTCCATGGGTAAACAAAAATATTGTTCATAATAATAATAATAAATACTATTTTCATCATTAATTTAATTATATAATTAGTTTTATCATTATTATCATTAATATTTGTCATCATTATTATTATTATCATTTTTATTTTCATGATAATTACATATTGTCGATCCTCCAAGGAGGCTCGGGGGTCTATTTTTTTTTTTTTACCATGATAGCACCTCTTAAAATATAACATTTTCTTTAAAACCTTTTTTCCCCCAAACTCCAAAGCAACCCAGTTACAGCACAGATTGTCGCCGTCGACAGTTGAAGAGTTTTGCAGAACCACGCTTCACAAATTGTCGACTGCCCGTTGAGCTCTTAATTGACCAGTTACAGGTGATTTCATTTCAATAGTCAACATTGAAGTCAAAGAGATATTTACCATGACCTACACCAAACGCAGACGATTATTTGAAAGCTGGTATTTGTGTACATCCGTGTACCAGACTGAAATTTGATTTTCAAGAATTGTCAAAAAGACCAGTCAAGTGAAGAGACGGATAAACAATCAAAGTAGCTCAAGGTCTTGATCCAACATACTTGTCGCACGTTTCAGTTTCTAATTGTATGACGTCCATTACCATGGATTTCGTAGTCTAGAGAGGCGTTACTGGGACATTTGAAACGGCCGGGGGATGGTCCAAAATTGTCGACAGACATTTTGAATGGAGAGGAGGGGTGGGGGGGGGGGGTGCAGTGATACCCCTGTACTGAGTTCCGGTGTCTTGAAATTGCATCTCTCTCTCTCTCTCTCTATTTTCTCACTCTCTCTCTCTCTCTCTCACTCTCTACCCCCCTCTCTCTCTCTCTCTCTTCCTCCCTCTCACTTACTCTTACCCCATATACCTATTTCTCCCCCTCAACCGTTAAGTGATGGTAAGAGTTCCATCAGTTGACAGCATTCGTATATGATATTATCCATGATAAATTATAACAGTCAAATTTAAATGAGATTATAGGAATGACGCCTTTTACCCTTTAAAACGGAATTATAAATTCTTTTTTCTTCATTTATTTGTTCACCCTACACCTTCATAGGTGTGTAGTAAGTCACTGAGAATATTATAACACAAAACCAAACGCGATTTTCAACTAATTTCTCTAACAATCGTTGATGTATTGTTCGGCATTCACAATCTAGGTCTTCATAAAGTTTATGAGAAGAAAACTAACTTGAATCGCACATTAATTTTTAACGCAAATGAAACTAGCCTCTCCAATTAGACCAAAATCAAACACGAGGGTCGTTTCCATTGAGTTATTTGCTCATACTCCGTAATTATGTGAATGAAGTATATACATTTCAAGTTTGTTTTCCTCTCACAAAATAATTATGTACATCAAGTTGCACATAAAGTCCAAACAATTTAATGTGAGTGTAATTCAAAGTCACATTTGACATTTTTGTTTGAATCTTGTTATTAAGAGGAATTCAAAGTTTGATGTTGAAAGGCTACATGACGTACTGTTCGAAAATTGTATACGAATACTTTAAATCGTTTTTAATTCTTGTTCGTTCGTTTGTTTGATTTTTCGTGGGGGGGGGGTGGGTAAAAATGAAAAATACAACGCTTTCAAGTAGTTTAGATGCTATTATTTTAGCGCACGATATAGAAGGGAGGGGGTGCATTTCTTTTGAATAGTCCTAGATGGCGCTGCTTGAAATATATTCAACAATTATGATCAGTGGGTACAGACCTTCAGACGATGATATGCAGCTGCATATGGCTGACTGCTTTCTGGGCCATGATTTCTTTTCACCTCCCACTTGATTGGTGTAGGATACGGCGCCTGGTATTATATTAGCTGGGTGCGGGCATACACGACTTATTCATTATCTCGGACGTTAGAGCACAAAGACCGGTTTACGGGCGGTGAACCTCGAAAGTTACAAATAAGCAGGAATGTCAGTTTAGTAACGAAACTAACGTGGCCTCTCTTTTGAGACACTGGTACATCAGAATACAGATGAAATGTACCATGGGAATGCCCGGATATATTTCAGAATACATGTACAAAGCTAGATACGTGCTACCAATACTCACTAGACACCACTCACGGGTTTGGACTATTAATAACATTGCACTCGCTACACTATGGCGCCCTTGAGGTTTCTGACGATATGGCTCTTCTTATTCTTACACCCCTCTGTAAGATGCATAGGTAAGAACACATGCATTATGATTCATATATTTGGCAAAGGGTTCAGCTTTGTTCTACGAATCAATTTCATATGTTGGCGGATTAGATCAACTTATACAAGTGAAATAGTTTTTACATCTTCACAATGTGAGCATCTGCGAACACGTGAAGTTGAATTTATTTGTTTGATCCACATTTAGCATGTTTGCAAGGCGAGAAATGTTCTAGGATTCGATATTTTTTTGGTAATACATTCTTATTAATGGATGTATCTTCTCTTTGAGGGACGTGATACTTCATCTAAATGTTCCACGGTGGTATTTTTTGCTTGCTTGCTTGTTTTTATTTTATCTCAAGTTACTTGCACGCTTGGTTGCGAGGTCAGAAACTATACTATAAACTGAGAAGCATTTGTATCATTAATCGAAAGAAATGACTTGATGAAAGAAGTCAAGTAGTATGGAGTATAAAGAAGTATGTAGTCTGGAATATCCTGTTGTTAGCAATTACCATGTGCCTTAACTTAAAAAAATTAGTATGTACGTCAATCCAAGTAGTTTATTCATATCAACCAAAGTGTATGTTTTGACAGAGACATCTAGTTTTAAATCATATATATTGCAGTTATACTGTATAAGGCTACACAAGTTTACAAAGAGCAAAACGTCATAATTGCCTTTATACTGGGTAGGCTTTTGTTTTCTTTGTCAAAACTGGATTCATAGATGTATTGTATTAAAATGCACGTTTATATCCTACAGAGTTTTGTGAATTATAGTTTTAATACTCAAAATTTTGCAAAACATTCCGAAGTGAGATATTAAAAAAGAATTAGCTTTAGAATGTGTACTATGCTATCAGAGCAGGTGCAAGATCGTTCTATTGTATTGAAAACTATCGCATCTCTAGAATTCTCCAAATAATTATAAGCTGCGCCTTGACATGAACTCATAAAATCTTCGCCGTGCTTTATAACTTGAAAGGGATCCTGTTTTTCTATTGAGATCTGAAGATGACGTGGTATATGAACAACTGATGATCGGCATTCACTTTAAGGCATTGCAATGTGGTGATGAAAAATGTACATCTTTTGTTTGCGATTCTTGTATTCTAAACCTATAAATAGCCAGAGGCAGCAGGAGAAAAATTGCAATGTCATTTTATCATTCTATTTCTTCACTCGAGCATGGTCATGATTTTGAACACAAAAATATGGTAGACTTTTTAAGCCGCCTATATTGTTATGTTTACATTGAAGTCGAATGAAAAGTCAATGTTTTACAAACGGAAAAAATGTACCATGGCTTTGGGATGTATGCGTTGCCTATTAATAACGAAGGCGTGCATCGCTGACTTAATTGACGTCACGGGACCCACGGGCTGAACCACAATCTTTTTGTAAAGTGAAATCGGGTGATTATACTTATCCTTCTAAGGTTTTCGTCTCTGTCACAACCAAACGGGTTTTTTAATTTTTTTACAAAGACCAAAGGGTCTTAGTGATCTGTTACTTCATGTTGAGATTACCAAATCATAAGAGCTACAAATAAAGAGCTGGAGAAAGGGACCAAATTATCTGCTTTAGTTTTAGACGTAACAGTATTACTTACCTTTTGGGTCATTCTTATATCATTGGATTGTTCCCGAAGGTGGTTATTTTCTTCTTTATTTTAGAAAGGGGAACAGGAGCATATTGGGTTTAATTTGCTTAAAGGTACTAATACCAGTTCTGGTCATGCGATTGTATTGTGAAAGAAACATTGTGAAATCGATCAGAACAGGTTGATCATCTAACATATAAGTATTGGTGTGTACTGCAAGGTTCTGGAATCATCAAAATGATAAGAAATTTGGCCCAGTCTTGGTAAAGTTACAAGCACGTACTGTACACAGAAAGATGTATATGGGACTACGCGACACGTGCGCGATATCTATCCGTATTAGTATATTGGTAGGCGGTTTGCCGGCAAAATGTGTATCGTCACGTATAAGTCAAAACATATTCTTTCACATGATTGGTAATAAGAGCTTCCATTTCCTTTTTGAGAGGGGGCGTTTTAAAAACTGGTCTATACATTTTAACCATAGAGTGATTTTTTTTAAAGAAGACGAACTGCCCTTTTGTTGGAGTATGGAGGGGTACGGGAAATCGAAACACGTACTGAATAACTATTTCACCAAAATCATTTACAAGGGCGTTTGACTTGATGCACAACGAGTTTTCTATGCGCGCATGAATGCATACCTTCCTCTTCAAAACATAATACTGTGCCAATAATGAAACCACAAATTGGGTCTTCAATTGACAAAGTGTACCGGATTTATTGGCAATGAATACCAAGATTCCTACAATATACTTTATGAGAAGTCGGAATAAGCATGTGAAGTATGCGGTCTGTCTGTCCTTTTTTATTATTCAATGTGTAACTTTATACTAAGAAGAAACTAAGTATGGTTTTCGACTATGGGGAGGAAACAGTAACTTGGCCTCCGATTGAGAGTCACAGGAATTGGTGCATTCTTCCGATCTAAGATCAGAGTCCCTGCCCGGGCCTATCAGCAAATCACCCTATACTACCAAACTTTAAATAGGATCTTTTGAAACATATCTATCCACTTTCTTTCTTTCTTACGAAAACAAAATATTCAGAATAAACTTTGCTAACTAAAGTGTCCATCAGTGGAAATTTCACGCTGATTTAATATTGAAATTCGAACAGGTATATATAGGAATTGTTTTGATTTGTTTAATATAGTGAATATCCATGGTCTCATCAATCATCTAAGTAGGTAATCCTTTAAGACGTCGTGGGACTGGGGAGGGGAGGGGGGGGGGGTAATATATTTTCAGTTGCTTTCTAGATATTACCTGTGTAATTATTTGTAATCATTCCGCCTACCCTATAAGGTTGATCGAAGCATCTATAAATGATATTATGTCAATCTTTAAAGAAAATCTATCATAATCACTCCATTTTCTGATTTGTTCTCTCTTTCTTTGTCTCCATTATTCTTGTTGGATTGGATGTTCCTGTTTACCTTATAAACACATTGCAGAGGCCACGTAAGTAAAATCAGAACCACTGATCTTTAACAACAGACCATTAGGAAGTAAAACAAAAATGAATATAACAAATCATGCAGATAATACATGCTGTTAATAGGTATTTTGTGTAATAATACGAAAGCTTTGTTAAAGACGCTTTAAACAATGTTTACAGTGAGAAAATAATAGCGTGAATTGATTACACAAGCTATCGTTCGTATATCTGTTTTTTCTGCATCAATTATTATGAATTAATCCCAAATACCATTTGTGAGAACATCCTTTTACTTACAAATTACGAATTCATTGTGCGCTACGAAGCATGCACGCATGGTATTCCATACACAGCTTGATATAGTTGATTTTGGAACCATGTTTACCAGGTCGCTTCTATTCAACAGTTGTAAGCCATGCATGATAATGACGTGGGTGAGAAAATATATACTTCTAATAGGAATGTCCATACTTCGAACAAGATAGCTCCTGGGACCGCGTACTCAGTAATAATTATAAGCTGCTTCTACGCAACACAATTAATCTTTTGGCCAATATAAAAATGTTATATTGATATGGGAGATAGTTTTATGTGTAGGCCGAATGTAATTCTTTTCCCCTGGACTTTACTCTTTCCCCCTGGAATTTACGTTAAATCTAATTAACGTTGAACAAAACCTTTATATATCAACCTTAGCTTTCTTAATTGATTAAATTATTGACGAATTAGATAAGTTATTTTGTTAGAAGCCCTGCGTGATTAGTCCAATAAAGGGCATCGACCTATTTAAACACGATTGTTATTGAGTGGGACTTGCATGTAAGTATTACGGAATGCTCTTGTAATTCATAGCTCATTCACACCAACAAAAACAATAAAAACTACAATTAGACTCACTTCAATTTGGTTTAGTCTTTCATTGGTTCTTATATACTTAATACGTCTTAATACGGCCATTCGAGACAGTTAGTAGTTGATTTTACTCTTTCAAATGATCAAGCATGCCTGGGGTATGCCCCTATACCCGTAATGTCACCCCGTAATGATTTTATTTTAGATTGCCCTATTATTCAACATCAACACATACTATGAGTATTAACAAACTTTGCAAATAATTTTACTTTTTCCACATTGTTAAAAGCCTAAACATGATTACACTGATTTGGTTGATCATAATTGAGAGGAGTATTAGCCTTACCAGTAACTTTTATATCTGTTCTCTATACCATACAGGGCAGCCGTCAGTTTCCAGTTTATTCAGTTTTTTGCATCAGTGAAATCTAGTTTAGACGAATTCACATCGTAAGTATTTTCACAATCTTAAAAACAAACAAACAAACAGACAAACAAAATCTTAACTATTCTACCACATGCCAAAGGGCAAATGCTCCATCTTGAAAACCGTGATCATATCGAGTCTTGTACTTGTTAAAAGTGTTAAGAGAATTATAAATTACAAATCATTCTAATGAATTATTTATTCATGCTATCATTATTCTTATTCCTTCACTGTTTCGTAATCTTGTTCCAAATAACAATAAGAAACTTTCAGATTAATTAAGAGGGTGCAACGTGTGACTCGGTAACATTGTCTCATATTCTGAAACAAAATCTTGGATTTAGCTCATGCTGCAATGATAATGGTAAACCTTTAGGTCAGTCAGGAACCCTGTGACTTTTACAAGCCGATCGCCTGTCTGATTTAGGGGATATTCTATTCCTAGGGGATTAGTCTATTGGGGAAAACTAGTATGGTTAAAACCGGTCACTCAAAGATTTTTTACTTTTTTGAGGCGCTTAATGATCATTTTGAGGCATTTCGCGGTCATTTTGAAGCGCAATTTGTTTAGAGCTTCAATATAACACCATACCACAGGCACTGAAAGCACTTATGGCCATGCATACCAGATTTAACATTGTTAAACGATGCCTTTACATGTGGGAAGAATGCGAATAATCAGTTTTAAGAATAAGAAACATTTCGGTGCATGCCGGTCGAAATAGAAACTTCAAATGAATATAAACAGAAATGCACATTGTTCAATGCTCAAGAAAAAGGCAGACTTTGTGCTGGGCAGGAAATGAAAAGTAAATAAGTGTCTTACATGTTCAAGGGTAATCAATCAATTAACTGCATTCTTAGACTCCTTGAGGTTTCTACGACTAACTTTCATTTGTATAAATATTATGCTCATTGGTTTTTAAGAGAGTCAACTTAATTTCACATTTAAATCATTTTTTCTATTTTCTTTGATATCAGGCAACTGAGTATAGATTTACAAACAAAGTACAGTTTTACGAGTCAACATATCAAAAGTGTTCGAGTGAGTATGATTTATGTATGTTTGCTACTTTGCACCCCCATCCACTCATTGTTGTAATGTTAAATTCCTTTACAATTCCTTGGTATGATGTTATTGTTAATCATGTACATACCATATAAATATCAGTATAATAATTAATAGTGTATACCATTTTACATACTGTACACGAAGTTTGGCATTTACACTTTTTTAGCAGGATTTGTGTACGCGCTTTCTTAGCAGTCATATAAAACAATCATCATGATCAAACTAACAATATTTATTCATCAAACAAACGTTTATTCCTGACAATTCTTAATACAGATTCTAACAAAATTGAGCATTTATAATTTAGCTTCTATAGCGTAGGTGAGATGAATGTCTAACTTTGCATACCACGTTAAGCTTAAAAGGCAGGTGAGGAAGTAATTGACAATTAGATTATATTTGTATAGTTCAATTCAAGCAAATTATAATCCTCCAGATGTAGATGAGGATAACTTTAGTTCATTTTTCGACTCTAGAATAATTATATTCTCGGTTTACACAGCTAATATATATATAAATATTCTACCCTTCCTCTCTTTCGTTTTAATATAGATTTTTTCTTCACCCGGAGGTCGCATCCAAGTAACTTTTGATCTTGATATAGATACCAGAAACAGAACGCTAGTGGCACAGAGGGATATATTAGACAGGGATGTAAGTAGAGAAAAAAAGCGGTATCAATGAAAATTGTCAGAATCATAACATTTGAGGGTGTCCTGGTATAGTGGTGTATTTACTCGACTCTCAAAGGAAGGGCTACAGGTGCGAATCCCAGCCTGGCACCAAGTCCTTTGCCAAGACATTTATATACATTTACCACTCTCTACCAGGTTGTACATAGGTATCTGGTAATGCTGGGTAATGATGATAATGATAATAATAATAATAATAATAATAAAAACGGTGCTTATAAAGCGCTTACCACTGGCCGAAGTCTCCAAGCGCATGATAATTGCAGGGTCCACATGGAGAGCGGTATGTGGCCACCCTCTGTAAATAAGATACAATTATTATCAACATAATTATCATAAATGTTCAACATCAGCAAAAAACACCCCTTTCCAACAAAATCCAAATGCAATATCCATCAGTAAAGAAAATTAAAAAAAAAATATATATATATATATGACTATGGAATGAAGAAAAAACAACATAAATTTTTATTTATTTGAATGTCTAGATGTCCTTTCTTTATTATCTTAAAGATTTCTTTTTCTTAACAGAACCTCGATCTAGTATTAAATGAATAAGATTTTGGTTTTCAGCTATGATGAAAGTCAAAGTTTTATTTTCGAACGGAACAAAAAGTCTTCAAGAGGTGGCCACTCGATCAAGCATTTGATAAAGGTCAAACACGCGGTTTAAAACATTTAAGCTTAAAGGTAAAGACCAGTATTGGAAACGCACCAATTTCAAAAAATGAAATGGAAGCTCTCATTACCAATCATGTGAAAGAATATGTTTTGAATAATACATGATGATACAAAATTTGCCGGGAAACCGCCTACTAATTCATATATTTGGTAAATTTGTTTCTCTCATGGTCTGTGAGAGATATAGGGTAGTCCCATATACATCTTTCTGTGTATAGTGCTTGTAACTTTACGAAGAATGGGCGAAATTTCTTATCATTTTGATGATTCCAGAACCTTGCAGATGCTAGATGCTAGATGATCAACCTTTTCTGATCGATTCCACAACGTTTCTTTCACAATGCAATCGCATGACCATAACTGGTCTTTACCTTTAAACAACTAGAACATTTAATAAGTGATATTCCAAATCATTTATAAACGTATTGGCTACATTATTATCATCATCATTTTGTCAAGATTCGTGGAAAAAAAGTCATTGAGAATGAAAGGAATAACAAACTGAAGTTCATAGATTTTTACCTAGGATTTTTTATTTTTATTTATTTTTTATTCAGTTAATAGCACCAAATTACGTCTTCGTTTTCACGAATTCAACGGGAGCTAATGAAGCCTTTCTGGTAGACGGTAGTTCTGCCTCCGTGACACCATCATTCTGGGACGGATGGCATCAGTATGCTCCAGATATACTCTATGCTATGCTAGTAGGACTGGTTCTATTCGCTTTGTTCTGTTCCGCCGTTTATTGTCTGGTAAGTCATCTCCTATCGTCATCATCACCATGATCACCATAATTCAGTTCAGCTCAGTTCAGTTCGGTTTATTTTGCACATTTTACATGGCACGGTACACATCGTCAGTTTTGTTTAGAAGACGTAGAATAATTTGAATAAATAATACACAGGTATTTTCACTAAAAATATACATACAATATGTCAAATCGCTTTGAGTTGCTTGTAGTTACTTTATACTAAGAGGTAGGTAAAATTGGAAATGAGTGTACGGTAAAGATATAGTGGCTATGGGGGTGGATAAAGCTCCTAGGTCTCAAAAAGATGGGGGAACGAACAAGGAACAACATTTATTGAAAAGGTATAATCCTTATCATCACCCATTCATCATCAACCGCACCACCACCACCACCACCACAACCACAACCACCACCACCACCACCACCACCACCACCACCACCACCACCACCGCCGCCACCACCACCACCACCGCCACCACCACCACCACCACCACCACCGCCACCACCACCACCACCACCACCACTGTTCTGGTAGACGATGGTTCTGCCTCCGTGACACCATCGTTCTTATTTATATATTTTATCATATATACATACATATTTGATCATATTTACATTTATATGTTATCATATATGTTAATCAGGTCGCCAAACAAAAGAGAGCCAAGAAGAGCAGCGCTGGTCAGGAAAACCGAATGGCGCCCCCAGCTGGTCACTTGAATGGAATCGAGAATGAAGGCTACGTGGTAGAAATGACACAAGTTTACAGAGTAAAGGTATTTATGTACAAAACACGACGAAGAACATGTAAATTGGACTCCAATAAATGCTTTAGATCTTGTTATTTATTTCTGTTAAACAAATGACATAGTTTTGCGGGAGTTATTAAGAAAAGATTGGAAAATAGTAATGATTTGTTTTCTTCTTCTTCTTCTTCTTCTTCTTCTTCTTCTTCTTCTTCTTTTTCGTCTTGTTTCGTCTTGTTCTCCTCTTTTTGTTGTGTGTGTGTGCATTTTCTCTTTATTGTTGTTGCTGTCTGCTCCTTCAATCTGTATCTCTTTTTTTAATCTCTAAATTAGAACACAGAATCATCCCCTATTCCTCAGCATCCATCGAGCCCGAAAGAGATATCCGTCTCTGTAATCGCACCAACAACTCCGGAAACAACAGAACCTCAGTCACCAAAACTATCACAGTCTCCACAGCGCTCTTCATCCGTCCAGTTACAACAACCAACAGAAAGCCAATTACCTATCCTAGATCATATTCCTGAGCTCCCAGCACCGATGAACTCTCGTAGATCAGTCACAACTTCGGAAAGTCCAACGTTGAATACTTTCATGCCCGCGCCGTCTCCTTCCATTATGCGTAAGATTATCTCAACGTATAAATCCAGTCATCCAACGCCACGAGCATCTATTCCAAAGCAAACCCCTTCCTCGTCATCTTCTCAGCGTTCTCAACAACTCGATTTAGCGACACTTGATGTGACCGTGACGCCCACTGAGAGTCCTACATATTCTGCCGAAAAGCCACCGACGTTAAATAGAGTGACAGCCAAGATGGCGTCATTGCAAGGGTCCGTACGGTCTAGTATTCTTGGATTCTCGACAAGCACGACACCTACATCATCAAGACGACCGTCAATCACTGGACCATCTATCTATGCAAGGTTACTTTATGCAAGTTACTCGGTTCCACCTAAAAAGATTTATGATTATATTTGAGAGAAAATTATAATTCTATTCACTCAATGAAATGTACTGTATTGTCGAGTGCAATGACTATTAATATGAGTCTATTATTATGTACTACGTAGTCAACCTTTCCCGATTGCTTTCAAACAGTTGTATTCACTATTCCATGATCAGTACTGAACTTTACAAATTATATCCATGTGCCATAATTTATGGGAGATATATACCAAGGGCTTTAAGATTTTTATAACTGTTTTTAGTGCAAGATTAATCTATACTGGTGTTAAAAGGGTTGTCATGGAGCTAATCAAGACCAGACAATGGGTAAGGGTGCAAAGCCATTGTGTTGCACAAAGCAATCCTTCTTTCAATTTGGTGCCTGTAGTTTTGTGCAAAATTGCAAGTGTGGCAAACGAGGGACGGTGCGGAGAGGTGAAGAAAGCAACTAAGGTGTTAAATCATTATGCCTTGTCAAAATACACCATGCACAAGAGAAAATGAATGTAGGTTTGAAAATATTTTATCCACCATATTATAAGGAATCGTTTGGCTGGATATTCAGTTTCAAATGTAAGATGATTGATGTTATAAAGTCACATCCCCGTTTGTAGTAAGAGTATTAAATTGTATGAAAAATATTTTATATTGAATAAAAGATGCTGCTTGAAATAGTACATGTTATATATAGGCCTAGTTATCATTTAGATATAAATTGATATGTACATAACTATACAAAACAGATAGACGGAGAGAAAAATGGGGGGGGGGGGGGTAAAGAGAGAGAGAGAGAGGGGTGAGGAGAAGAGAAAAGGAAGATGAGATGAGATAAAGCAAAATGAGAGAGACAGAGCTGAGAAGAGGGGACAGAAGAGGAGAGGAAAGATAGAGAATGAGAGAGAGAGAGAGAGAGAGAGAGAGAGAGAGAGAGAGAGAGAGAGAGAGAATGAGAGAGTGAGAGAGAGAGAGAGAGAGAGAGAGAGAGGGGGGGGGGAGGGGGGGGGGAGGTGTGAAGGGCACAACTGCTAATACAATTTTACCCAAATTGAATGCTGCTGATATTGAATCGAATTCAAATCTGAAGTATAGAATAGAATAGAATAGAATAGAATTTATTGACTCATTCGACCCCCTTCTGGGGTATGAGAGTACAACACATGTACATGTCATGATAATGATACATAATAAAGAATACAAACATAGCTTAATAATAGAAAAAATACAGAATACAACAAAACAACAATATAAAAGTATAACGATAAATAGGAATGATCTAAACCTAGCCTATGCTAAACATAAATACAATATTATACAATATGGCAAGCATACATGAAAAGTGGAAAATACCACATGAACAATCTAAATACAAACACAAAGAAAAAGAAAGATAAAAACAAAAAATAATTTTACAATTTTTTTTTTTTTTTTTAATACATTATTGTCTTAACTAAAAAAGAAATTATAAGTTTCATTTTTGTACATGTAAGTGAGTTGTGATTGGATTGTTAAATATGCAGACTAACAAAATACGCCATAATCGTCCATTGGACAAACAAAAACATAATGGAATATAATGTAATAAGACAAACAAAACAAAAAGTATACTAACAAAAAAAAACAAAAAAATGAACAAAAGAACAAACAAACCATCAAAACTATACTTGACCTAAAGAAAGACTGTACTACAGATCAAGAATTGTTGGTTGCTTAATTAACCTACCACTTCGGGTTGTAACATTTCTTTTTATGGGCGACATATGATTGGATTGTTCAGATTTACATGTATATAGACGAGCAAAATATGACATTATTATCCTTAAGAAGAGTACTAATTTCTTCAGCTGTCCTATACCGGAACATGAAAATAAATTCAACATGTGTGATGTGCAAGGGCGTTTAACTATTACTTTGCGACCTAAATATAACTCTCTTTCCTTTCTGAAAAAAGGGCATACAAAAACATAATGGAATTCATCACCAGACTCATGCATATCACAACATGGGCATTCAATACTAATTTCATTAACAGCTTCTTTGAATCTGTTATTATTAATTGGTAAAAGGTGTGACCTACATCTAAAACGGCTCAGTGTTATTCTATCCTTTTTACTCAGCAAAACTAAATACCTTTCAAAGAGACAATCCTCTTTAAAGATCCTATAATTTAGGCACACACTGTTTGTCCAAATTGTTGCCATCACATCTTGTTTTGAAATATCGTTTAATCTCAACTTCAGAGTGCTCAGTATCCAACTATTGCTAAATCCTTCCCCTTGCTTTAGCCAAACAATACCAAGACCAGCATGGTTCAATATTTTTTCAATACAAGATAACCACTTGAAAGAAGTAGACATATCTACATTCTGACTAATCAACCTTTGCAAAAAATAAAATTTGACTGAATATTTAGAGGGAGAACCTTTTACTATTCTTAACCAGAAACTAACCATTCGATGTTTGATACTGTTAGCTAGCCATGCCCTCCCAGTTTCTCCATATATCATACAATCTGGTGTAAATTTATTTACACATAATGCTGACCTGAGAAATTTTCTATGGAATATTTCAATTTGACTCAGATCAAATATCAGTATCAGTATCAGTATTTTTCAGTATCCTTGAAAATAAATTGATCCAGTCAAGAAACTTAATAAATAACACAGAAATTTAGTACTAAATAAAATTAAACACTCACATGGAAATGATAAAAATACATATGAAGAAGAGATTTAAAAAACAACATATCGCCCTAATCTATTCCCATGTAGAAATGTCGTGGCCGAGTGGTTTAAGCACTTTACTTGCAACTCAAAGGTCGTGGTTCGATCCCCGATATGGCACTAATGTACTTTGGCAAGGCATTAATCTTCATTTGCCACACTCGACCCAGGTGAGGTAAATGGGTACCTGGCAGGAATTAATTCCTTGAAATGCTAGAGCGCTGTAATGGCAGCTAGGCTAAAGCCGGGGTTATCATTAATGCGCCTTAATGCGCATTAATGCGGAATATAATTTCTAGATAGACTGCGCTATAGAAATGCCTATAATTATTAATTATTATTATTAAAGCCTGGAAAAGTGATATTTTGCTGAGAATATATGAATTTCTATTCGCCAGGAAGACCCCCCCCCCCCTTGAAGCCAAAATCTAGAGACGCCCGTAGATGGTGCTGTATACGTTGAGAGTATATTACTTTTTGTTCATGTGTCGTAATGATGCAAGAAGAAAGTCAACGTTATTTTTTTAAAAAAGCTTTTTTGCCTTTATTCAGATTTTCATGATTATACAAAATGATGAATAGGAACACAATTGTTCTTACAGTATAAACATACATGTAGTACATTGTCTCATACATTATAAACACAGACATATTTTAAAAATATTTTCCATAAGTATCCAAACTAATATAGTACACATTCAATCAAGTGTACAGAATGTGCTACAATTCCTTTAAAAAAGGAAAAGGTGACGGTAATACTTCATATTAACTTTTTTGGATACAACATTATAAAAAGGAACAATTTTTACAACATATCTTCTATGCAAATTAATTAGTTTAATATAAATTAAACAATCTGAACAAAGATTTTCTTATATAAACAAAAAGTATAAGGTGAAGGTGCTGCTTCATAACCCATGATAACAACATTTGTTATATTTACATATAATGATATGGTGCATTTTTCATTATAACTATATGAGGGTCTTGTATTAGTGGAGGTCTGTAACTATACCGTTATTAACAAAATAAAAATATCATATATAAAAAAAACAAGCAAACAACGATAGTAGATAAGTGTCCGGATCGATGAGAAAGTGAGGGAGTGAACAGGAATGACAATATATATATATATATATATATATATATATATATATATATATATACAATCAGTTCCCCTGCCTTAAGGGGTAAAATGTTCCCATTTTTGATAATGTATTGGCAGTTTGTCCTTTAATTTTGCTTTTTCATGTTCAACTTTATTTGAGTTTTCTACAGCTTACATATTTCTTTACTAGTTGGGAACTTTCCATTTTTACGATTACTGTAAATGATATATTTGACCAAAATCAATACATGATTTAACAATATATTATCTTTCATATTTTTCTGAAACCAAGCAACACATCAATCCATTGCATATTAAGAAACTGAAACATCTTTAAACTGTTTCCCACCTCATTCCATATTCTGGACCCTTCAGAACATTCAAAGACGATATGACGATAGGTTTTTACTTCTTTTGTACAAAAGGAACATAAATTTGACTGTGTTAATCTAAGAAGATACAATTTATCATTACAAAAAATGATGTTATGTAAAAGTTTATACTGAAATTCCCTTAACTTCCCATCTAGAGTGGAAAATCTGGGGATCGAGAAACATGTTGTAGTTTCCGATTTATCAAGATTTAAAGCTATTACCTCTGGATGTTTAAAAGCAAATGCATCTTGTATTATAGCAATAAAAATGTTATAGAGCATTTTGGAAGAGACAGACTCAAAAGAATACACTGTTTTGTTAATGATAAAGTTAATGTTGGAAAGATCTCTCCCTCTGCAAATTCTCTTAATCTGTGATGTATTGTAAATGACAATGCTGCCCTCTGTAGGATGATAAAAAACATGGTTATATCGAAACAAGCTAAAAGTTCGTTGACCTTATGGGAGGGAATCTATAAGCTGAGGGTCAGGATGGTGGACTGGACAGTGAAGACCGAAGAGGTACACTTAGCCACGGCCTCTTTGTCTTTGGCCCGCACCCATTATATTTTGTGTTCGGGGAAAATACCATATAGGCCTACTTTGTAATTTTGCCCCCCAAAAATACTTGTCTTCTTTATACTATTCGTGTCTTGTGTTCGAAAAATAATAATAACGATAATAATAATAATATTCGTAATGATAATACTAAAAACAATGATTTAAATATCATTAATAACAAGTCAGTATAGAATGGTAAACTGAGTTTGTGGTTTCAAGAATATTATGTCTTTGTGAGCACTCATTTTTTTTGTATAGCCCTCGAAAATGTGAAAAATCGCACCCCCCCCCCTTGAACGCCAGGGGGGGGGGGGGCTCTCTCCAAAAAAAAGGTAAAATTAGCTCAGGGGTTTTGTGCAATAGATTTGTGACACTGGCAGGTCACGAATTGGCGTGGGGTTCAGGGGACGGAGCCCCCGGAAGCTCAGGGTTCATACATTAAATTATCGTCAGATGTGCATATTTTATACCTTATTTGTGACACTGGCAGGTAACGAATTGGTGTGGGGTTCAAGGGGGGGGGGCGGAGCCCCTGGGAGCTCAGGGGTTTTGGGCAATAAATAACAGTCAGATGAGCATATATTTTTATACATTATTTGTGACACTGGCAGAACATGAAAAACGCCTTTTTCAGGGGTTTTGGGCAATAAATAATGGTCAGATGAGCATATTTTTATACCTTATTTGTGACACTGGCAGGACACAAATTAGTGTGGGGTCCAGAGGGCGGAGCCCCCAGAAGCTCAGGGGTTCATACATTAAATTATCGTCAGATATGCATATTTTATACCTTATTTGTGACACTGGCAGGTAACGAATTGGTGTGGGGTCCAGGGGGCGGAGCCCCGGAAGCTCAAGGGTTTTGGGCAATAAATAACGGTCAGATGAGCATATTTTTATACCTTATTTGTGACA